GGAAGGCAGTGCACAGGAAGGCAGTGCACAGGAAGGCAGTGCACAGGATCGCAAAGATGTAAGACCACAGTTACTTTAGGGAGGTGTACCTGCTTCTAGCACAGGTGACCATTAGATGCATCACAAACCGTCACATAGTACTGGATGTGATCCGTGACTCAAACTCACAGTGAATCCTTCAATAAACCTTTCTTTTTAGGTCAAATTAATATTCCAAAGAACGATTATAACACCACATTATAAACTCAGCACTTCTAAGGTAAGTTAACTGTCCACTTTAACATCATCTCTCCATATTTGTTTTGATGTATTTCTAAAGTAATTCATATAGGACTTGAGAGAAGTCCCCGTGTTTGTATGCTGGACGTTTCTTCCAAATTTATTGCAGACTTTACCTTTTGTTTGTATTATATATTTTGAAGTAACATTCTTGCTAGGAGTTTCATGAGCAGTTAAACCTCTGTTGCAAAGGGACAGAATAATATTGTTTTATCTCTGTTACTGTTGAAATTTCTGTCCCTCTCATTGTACTTTGTCAAAATTGAAGGCACTTACCAAGCGAAAGGTGTTGTCCGCCTCCAACAGTTTTCTGAGGAAGCCTGCAATAGCCTCAATATAAAGCGAAAGACTGTGATCGGCGATCTGGATCCTTCAGTGTGTGGCTCTCCTGAAGCACTTCTGTATCCAGACGTTATCTTGAGCCTTGCATCCTCGGAAAACATGACATTAGTGATGCCATCGAAATCACTGTCCCTTTGGGAGGAGAGCCGGAGCAGAGTTTTTAAGGACTTTGCCAGGCAACCCTCCACATCCAGCTGTAACCTGCTATGTGTGCAGGATAAGGAGAGGGGGAGAGAGAGAGAGAGAGAGAGAGCGATGGTGTGTGAGTGAGAGCAAGTGAGACACAATGCAGGAGGGAGAGAGAGAAGGATGATGATGATGTTATTAATCTGCGCATAACACAGAAACAGCAAAGTCAGTCAGTTAGGAGCCTGTTAGTGTGCAGGCAGGGAAGAGCATTTCATTACCAGTGTCAATGTGCTCAGCAGATTGAAGCCCAACAGGGATCTGGTGAGCGAGGAGCACAAGGTGTGGAAAAGCATCACCGCTTCTCTCAGTCCATTAAGTGCTTCATGTTTCATAATCATAGTTTTCGTATTAAGGCTTAAGGCTTTTTTCTCATCTTGAGACTTTTTTTTTATATTTTCCCTGCCTGTATGACAAACATCTATCTCAATTAGCCGACAATAAAAACTAAATAAAGCTTAATTTCATATTTAAATATACTGTTTCATATACTGTTTGTGTGCGTGCTTTTATCCTTAACCAAGCTAGAAAAGCTACGCTTAATATCAGCTTCAGCAAACAGAGAACCTCTAAAGCTGATTTAGCATATAAAACATGAAACCATGTATTGTGCATTATTAAATATAATCTCCCGGATGTTGTAGGTAACTAGAACAAAGATAAAGGACATGGAAATTATATGTCAGGGAACAATAAATATGTTCTGTATCTAATAGACGATATGAGTTTGGAAGTATGAGTTAAACATGAATTATGTAAAAGAGAATTTAGAAACATTTATGAGGAAACCACATGACAGAAAGCTTCACTAATGGGGGAAATTTATAATTATTAATCAGAGGCATGATCCTCTGGTTTTCTAAAAAATAATCCTCATGAGAGTCCTGCAATTTCAGCACAAACTTACAACTCATGGGAGATTCACTTATACAAAAATGTTCTGAGGGCATAACAAAAAAGGATTGGTTCAGAGAGATAACCAATCAGATTGTAGAGGAGGTGGATCCAACAAATCAGATGTCTTGGCCCCACATCCTCTAGGCGACTGGACCCACCTCCTCTACAATCTGATTGGTTATCTCTCTGAATCAATCATTTCTCATTCTGCCCTCCCACAAGATTCCTTACATGTACAGACGCTCCTCTACTTACGAACTTTCAACATACGAACGAAGAGGACAGTAAGTCCAAATTGTGTTCGTTGGGCTCCCATTTCCTGCCCGCAACATCAATTTTTTTTTCTGCGTGCCAATTCCGCCTAGTACGACTTCTGGCCGCTACTCCCACCGCGCAGCAGCGTAGCGTGCGTACTCCCAGCATCCTATAGTTCTTTGTACTCGCGTATACCTTTAAAATGATGTTCAATGACGACTTACAAACATTTCAAGGTACGAACCACCGTTCGTAAGTATAGGAGCGTCTGTATAGATTTTTTTTAATTCTTAAAATAGCGATACCCTAATTAAAAAAAATTGCAAAAATTTAAGGCAGACAGACACAATACCCCAATGTGTATTTGTAACTGGCAGTCAACCTCATACATAACTACAGACTAGAATAAATTTCCAAAATACTGTGAGATCCAGGTAGCACTGTACAGTCGCATGGATGATGTTGATGGGTTAAGGTTTTGATGGAGTGTTAGGGAGACAGCATAATCCCCAGGACAGACTGCAGTGTGGTTTCACATGCTGGGTAGTCGGTGTTGAGGCAGTGATGTCATACAGGTGGGAAACCAATTCATGTGAATAAAACCATTTTAGTGACATGATACTTCCTTGTTCCATGTTGCAGTACACTGTGATGGGGCTCAGCAGAGAGGCCCGGAGCGGTTCAACCGGTCCAGTTTGATCAGTGAGGAAGCTTAAAATGCATTGGCATTGATGTTCTGTTGCTGCAGGGTGTTGGGGTGGCATTAAGACTGGATACTTTTGTAGGAAATGAGGATGCGGACCTTCGTTGTTGACGCTTGTTTCATGACCAGGCCTTGGATCTGACCTCTGATGGAGGTTTGTGGAAAAGTCCCCGGTCTCCAAAGATCCTGTTTATGCCTATGGAACCCTGGCCAGAATAGTGGCTTTTTGAAGCTCCAGAAGGTTCTAGAATGTAGCTGTATTCGATTTTCCTTACTAGACTTGCATGTGAGTTAATCATAATTAACTGATTGATTCATTAATTTATTCATTGATGTAATTGTCCCACTAGTAATGTGTAACAAATCAGGTGATAGGTGTACTACCCTTCAGGCTTGCCTATTCACCAGGCTCATGCAGGAACTACAGCTGCCAGGGACCACAGATCTGTGAGGACTGTTACTTTGTTCCAGAGAGAACATCTGCTCTTGTAGAGAAGAAGTACAGATCTATGTCATGGAATCCAGGAATCCGGCTTTGAAGTCAAGGTGTGGAAGTGGAGGTGCTTCTCACAGCTTTGTGTGTGTGTGTGTTTGTGTGTGTCTGTGTGTGTGTGTGGGAGAGAGAGAGGGACAGAGTGTGGACCTATTTGCATATACTGTACTTCTGAGGGTGCTTGCATGCGAGTCTCTGAGGCCGTGCACTGCCAAAGAGGAAGATATTAGGTTTCTGAGGAGAGCTGAAGAAATGGAGCCCAGAATGAAGGCACTGTAGTCACAGAGGAGGGGGGGGCTCTGCCTCCTGCCCATACTTTGCTCAAATACTTCTGTAAGCCAAAGCCACTTTTAATTAAGTACACTTAATCATATCCTTATTTGGTTTTTGATTAGCTAAATGAGAGCGCTAAGCATTGATACAGGCGCCATTATATGATAAGTAAATATGGTTGATGATCTTCTGTGCCAGGTAGATTAGATGGATTGCGCACATTTGGATGCATGTGAGTCTGTATGAGTGCGGGGCCTGTATCGGGATTCTGCCATATGGCCACCAGGGGGAGCAAGGGAGGCAAACCACATTTATGTTTTATTTTTTTACAAGCTCTGAGGAAGCACTGTCTGTTTGTGAGAGGTCAGACACACTGGGCACAGGCAAAACAAAACCTGCTTACATAATGTTCACATTCCTGCCCTGTGCACTTGGCATTCACTGCGGCGTGCGCAAAGTGACCGTGCGCAGCAACATACCGTTCTCATTGGTGCTGTCTGCACACTGTGTTCACTATAGCGTGTGTGACTGACCATGTAAGCAATGCTGGGTGGGTGGGGGTGGGGGGGGTCCTTGGAAACTGGATACCAGGGTCATCCTCTAATGCTTGAAAAGCCTGAAGACTTGGGAATGAAGTGGAGTCTTGCCACGGGGCAAATGTTGGGTGACTCTCCAGGCCCTGCGGAATAAAAGGCTGTGTCCCAAAATGAATGTCATCATAAGCTGCTGGATCTCATGGCACGTATGCAGCCACCAGGTTTTTCAATTCACACTCCAAAGTTGGATTAAAGTATAAGCTGAGTTGCATTTTGATCCAGATTTTGGATAAAGTTCAGTTGAGAGCGCTCTTTACCGGGCTTGCAAACGAGTTTGCGGCTTCCTGTGCTATTTCTTGGCAAAGATTTTCCTGAGAGCGAAGCCTGCGGCTCTCTTAGGTACTGGTGCAAATCAGCTCGTACGCCGGATTAGAATGGCCTCGTGTAGATTTTCGTTTGTAGCAAAGTGGACGTACTTCTTAGGTGGGTTGTCCAAACGTGTTCTTCATTTTCATCTGTGTGTTAAATTATGCTGTTCCTGAGCAGCCAACTTTGTCCAGATTTTGTCTGGAGGTGTCAAATGCAAATCCCTGTCAGCACGACCCAGCACAAGGCCCGATGGGACCCACACCGCTGAAATAGACGAACGCCCTCCTGTGCCGTTAGCCTGGGTTCTAATGATCCAGTGTTCTGCAGAACCTTCATTCATAGTTCATTTAAAAGCTTAATAAGCAAAACCCATAAAAATAACTCTAATTCCTTCACCGCTGTATCACCTCTAGTTGGAAATGAACATTTGTGTCCATCTTGTGACACATTTCTTGTTTGCCAACTGGATATGACTGCTTAGTTCAAGGCTGTCGCCCTTAGAGAGGTGACCCTGTCCGCAGATATCACCAGCTGAGACCAACCAGGACTGCGGTGGTGGGTCAGCTTTCAGCGTCAGTCTTAGACCAAAAAAGCAGAACAGTAACTGGCCAAAGAGGAGAGACCTGGACACATTTCACACAAAACATTTCAGCCCTTTCATTTATTATTTAAAAGATACCGATGTGTTACTTTTGAAGCATAACTATAGTTATTTCAGAAAACGTTGTGTTCTGTTATGGTGTCATTTTTTCCTGATTACACTCCATATTAATACCTCAACATTGACTTACAGGAAATTTATAGGAAAAATCACTTGGATATCAAAAATGTGGATATTCTGTCGACTAGAAATCTTGTTGCATTTTACATGATAATATGACATGGCAGATTTATTAACTTCCATCCATCCATTTTCTATACCTGCTTATCTTGTGCAGAGTTGTGGGGTCTGGAGCCAATCCCAGAAACTACAGGCACAAGGCAGGAAATAACCCAGGGTGGGGAGCCAACACACTGCAGGGGCCACTCATTATTCACAGCTATGGGCAATTTGGCAACTCCAGTTAACCTCAGCATGTTTTTAGACCGTGGGGGGATGCTGGAGTCCCCAGAGGAAACCCCACGATGACACGGGGAGAACATGCAAGCTCCACACACATGGAGCCATGGCAGACAATCGAACCCTGGTCCCAGAGGTGTGAGGCGACAGTGCTAATCAATGCATGACCCAGTTTTAGGAAGTTATTTAAAAATAATTTAATTGAAGTTGATTAACCAGTAGAAGTGAAAGAACATTTCTGATTTGTTCTTCTGTAAATGGTGCTCAGAGTTTTTTGGCTGTGAGCTTAGATGTGTGTGTGTAGATCTACACTGTATACTTTCACAGTAATACTGCCATACTGTCTCTCTGCAGGTAAGACAGGGTGCAACTGATTCCGTTGTACAACTCTGAGTGGGTACCAAAAACAACAGCCTCTTATTTTCACTTCCTGTATAAGTCAGAAGTATTTGCCCTTGGTTTCATAAATACTTTGTTTCATGGCATAGAAAGCTGTGTGATGTCAATGGCCAACAGACCTGTACACCAGCCTATCATTACACTGATTAAGTCTTCTAATGGTTTTCATTGGTTCAGCTGCAATTCACGACGTCAAATGTAATTCACAAATGTTTGTGGTGCATGCAGTTAGAGGCATGCCAGGAATTTAAATTTAATTCAGGGTTGATGGCTCAGACATATCATACACGTTAAAGGAAATAGATTATTGAAAACTCAAAAGCAGAACTGTCACCAGGAATAACATTCAGGGGAGGAAGAATGTGAGGATTCAAATGAAAAGTTGCAGTATTTTATGTTTGGGGCTGATACTCAGACTATGCAGACTTAATTGGTTGTTGATAAAGCTGTAACATCCATGACCTCGACTTTAAAAAAATGCCGATGTTCCAGACACTTGGTTTATTGTGAACAGCTTGCTTTGTTAGACTCTTCCAGTTTCTCATTACGTGCGGAATATTCCTAAACCTCTCTTAATGCAAAGAGGAATGTTATTTGTTAATGTTAATATGATGAAAAACTTCATACAGCTGTTGCACCATCGGAAGTGGGTTTCTGACTTCCTCTTGTTGCAAAATGCTCTCATGCCACAAAACTTTATCAGAGGTTGCATATAAAGTAAATATGGAATCCATTCAGGTCATGCTCAGAAACTGATGTAACAGGCAAAGAGTAGGACTGTTTCTGTTTATGGGATACAAGCAGAATATAGCTTGATTAGTAAGTCAGTCTAGTGTAGCATTGCAACTGTTGAGTCAAATAGTTTAATTTTTCATAATTTATAAGAATCCAGACTAGCAAATTCTAGAAGGAACTTTTTTTTTATTCTTACATATTTCTGTTGTTTTTCATGATTCGTATACATTAATAAAAATCGTATTTGTATTGCCCTTTACCTTGTTTATTTTTTGCTGTCGCTGTGTCACGTTTGCGCAAGCCGTGTCTGTTACTTGCACATGCGTTTTTCTCGTTCCTTGGGTACTTTCCAGCGGAAACAGTGCCGGCAGTTTATTTTAATGAAACTGAGATAGAGGAACACGTGTAACTGGGACTGCACTGTCAGTTCGCTGACCTAACACTTGATATCTTAGCCTATTTCAGAATCGTTTTGGAACTTCAATTTGGCGTCGACTCCGGTGGAGTTTTTGGAATGCAAAAAAAACCCTGTATTCTGATCAGTTTCGTTCTAAGGAAAAGAACGAGCCATATTTAACTGAAGAGAGAAGTTACACGGAGGAAAATATGCTGTTTAGAAGATATGAATTTGCAACTGTATTGGGATTTCTCATAATTTTACTGAATAGGCGAATGCTTATCTAGTGCTGAAGGTCCCGTTATTGTTTGTTCATTTGCTTTTTGGTTATAGTGATTCGGTCAAGAAACTCACTCTTACTTACACGATCACTATTTAATATTTACATCAGCTTCTTACGCTGTCTTTCCATTTAAGGCATATAACTAGACTACAGTGTCAATACAAACTGGACACTCGTGGGGGGTCCATTTGATCACATAACTGACGTAATTTTGACGCATTTTTTTTCTTCTCGTTATCTTTCTACGCACATGCTTCCTCAATACCAAAACAAATTTCCAAAGGTGTCCCCATATTGACGGAGAACATTCATCGGTAATGGCACTACCACGGTATTTGTTATTGGGATGGTGGTGAATAATTAACGGTTGCAGGAATTAAAAAAACAAATAAAAGATGTTTCGCTGACCAAAAGGTTCATTGGGATTTTCGACCATCACAAATTTCGGTTTTACTAACGGACCTAAATAGACCCTGAAAAACTACAACACCATCACGAGTCACGTACTCATTATGTGAACGCGCAGTGACGTCGGAGCAGACGTGCTCGTCAGAAAGCGGGAAACCCCGCCCACGGCGCCCCTCACGCCTCATTAATATTCATGAGGAGCTGGACGGGGCTTTAGCTGCCTTCACGGCTGTTGTGGTGGAAATGGTGGCAAGATGGCGGCGCTGGAGGAGGAACGGCGTTACGGGCTGTCCTGTGCGAGAGTAAGCGATGGAAGCAGCGTGTCTGTCTTCCACGTTAAACTGACTGACAGCGCGCTGAGAGCTTTTGAAAACTATCAGAACAGACGGGTAAGTTAGAAAAATCGACCTGGCGCCTTTTTGGACGTGTCAGCTTGTGGCCACTGCTGGACTACTGCGGTTATGATCGCTAGTTAACGAGGTGTGCGGCTGTGTTATATGTGTTGTGACTAGTTAACGCTCATCGGTGTGTAGTGCTGGCTGAGTGCTGGCATGGCCATTGATTGAAATGCTGGTGTATGATCAATCGCTTCCCCATACGGAAGACGAGAAGATCACCTAAAGAGAGATGCAATAAGATGAGTTGTGTGAATAATTCTATCTGAGGTCAGTTCAAACAGCGATTTTTGTAACGTAAGACCCGACAACTTAAAAACCAAACACCTAATTTAAATAACAAATATGGAAAATATCGTATTTCTTTCTGTCTTGATTTCCTAACCTGACCCCTTTTAACGGGCTAAGCTACGTAAATGTAACCCCAAACCGCCGTTTACTTTTTTTTGTTCACATGGCAGTAACGGTGGTTTTGGGTGAAGCCGAGGACCTCGGCATTTTATCGCCCAGCCACATAAATATTTACTAATTAATATTCAGGAGAGTTGAACTTACTTGTCTGAATAATTACATAAGACGTTCGTTCTCTGTAGAAACCGAGAAAAGGTAACGGGAGGTGCTGTCCTTTTCCCATTTGTGGTGCCTGGAAAAAAAAGTTACTTTTTGTTTTTTGAGTAGGACTGGCCAGCAACAAGTAGGAATCCCAAAATAAACATATTGTTGATTGATCTTTTCTGTAGAAATGTAGCCGAACATAGGAAACACCTGATACCATCTTTGTGTGTTAAACACTGCTTAGCTGTTGGTTATTCATGTTTGTAATAGACAGGAGGCTAGTCTATAAAATAAAACGAGTTTGCGCTCAGCCTTAGTATCACGTGTAAATTCTTCGTTATATTTGAAGTTGCGTGGATCACTGTACATCCTGTTCCGTTTTAATTTCGTGCCTTATAAATCCATTAAGAGGGTCTTATATTTTCCATAAATTTAGGGTTGTCTTTTTCAGGATGACTACATAGTCTTAGTTGGTGCTAACTTTGAATTATGTATGATCACGGTGTTAACCCGGGTTTATTCTGAAACTGGATGTGGCAAACACAACCTGTCTCGGCTCTAAAGGTTTCCTTGGTGGAAAGCATGACTGTGCAAGACTAACAGCTACAAAATTATTAGATAAGAATCCTCTGTTTAACCGACCTGCACCATTTGTTATGCAGACATTCACAACATAAAGTTCCGGAAGTCTTTCTTGATGTCATCTCATTAGCCTAAGTGACCTTACCAGTGACATATTTCTGACTTGGATTGTTGGGTGGACTGGTAGATTATACGTGTGGTGGATTCGTGAAGATCGTAAGGGCTTTAGCTGTCTGATTCTGCTACGGTTTGTTTGTCGTTGGACAGATCGTCTGTGTTCTTAGTGTCCACCTAACTGACTGTGTGAATCCCATTTGTTTCCAAACAATTCTCTGTTGCCCCCCGGTGGTCTTTGCAGAAAGGTAACAGTGATGTGTTAGTTAATTTTAGCCACCCTTCTCTTGCAGGGTCTTGGTTGTGGTCAGTTTTCACTGATGCTCTGTGCAGTGTCTGTTTCTGTCACAACTTCCCCATTTAACGGGGCACATCTTCTGAGGAATGCCAATTGAGCTAGCCCTAAACTCCAACTTAGATATATGTCTGTCTAAAAAGCAAAAAAAAAAAAATAATCTCAAAGAGGCACAGGTGTATTTGTCTGTCTGGAAATCTTTCAGTATCTGTAACCTGACCTTGTGCAATTTGCGGCTCGGTAAATATTATGGTCAGGCTTCCAGAAAAGACTCGCTTGAAATGGTTCGGATTGGCAGGAAGTAGTGTGTGGGGCAAGTATTTCTCTAGAAAATTAATGCAAGATTACATAGAAGTTGTGGTGGTGGACGGATGAATGTCTTTTCTCCCTGACTGCTGTGAGCTGTTGTGCTTGCAGATGCACGCAAGCTGTGCCGCTCTGGCACTGAATTTATGCTTTTGAGGAAAAACGTGCAAAGGTGAATAAAATAGTGTTGGTTCGCTCAGTTTAGTGCTAGGTAAAATGACACATTTGACACTCTCTCAACACCTCAGCACAGCTGGCTTTCAACGTGCTATGATTTGCAACTGTTTTTTCAGTTGAAAGTCCTCTCATTACTATTCTGACTTAGCAAGAGGGGCGGGGCCTGTTACCTCAAGCCTAGTCAATGTAGCTAATGATCAGTCCCCACTTAAAATGGGCAACCAGCTGAGGTCCCATTGATGTTTAGGGGACGGTAAGCTTTAGACAAAGTGCCTTATTACTCTGGCCAGCGAGATGCTGAATACCAAGGCCTACAAAGTGAGAGCGACCTGTTCGGCATGTGCTGGACTGCTGATGTGGCAGCAGCCGAAGTCCATAATATGGTCCCAGCGTGCGTGTGCCAACAGCAGAACAGTCCAGGGAGACATCTTCTACGTGGGGGAGCTTCTCATGTGTCAGACCTCCGGCGTCGCCACTGAAATCGAAAAAGCTCACAACTGCGAATGGAAGTTCTTTTTTTTTTTGAGCCCAGGTGTAGTAACTGTCAACCCCACCACTCAATTTCACTCGTCGTTTGCGCTTGGCGAGCGTTTCGTCTCACTGCACCGACACCCTCTTTTCTCCATTTCATTGCCCAGGGGCTGGTGTTTCTCGCTCCTCCTGTTGCATTTTGCCCCCCCCCCCGCCGGGGTCTTATTTGCGGCTGAGTGGCAGGTCTTGCAGGTGGCTTTCTCCATCCATCCCATTTTATCACAACACTGCTGACTGTGTCTCCAGGACGATGGACTGTATCATGTTTCTGGCCCCTTGGGGAAAAAAAAAGTGCCATTTTTAGGTAGATGTGCTCTGTGATTACAGCTAACCAGGGTTTGTGGTGTGTTCTGAGCATGTAAGATTGGCAGCGTTAATCACAAAAAGTGACTTTCCAGAGTCTGTGTTGTGATACTGCAGGTGACTCCAGTACTGGATAGGTTATATTGTGTCTTAGATATTTTTACCGGGTTACGTTTATTTATTTATTTAGAAGATGCTTTTGTGCAAAGTGCTGTAGAGTTGAAAATGCAGGGTCGTCCCGTCCCTGGGGGAACTGTGGCTGTGGGCCTTGCTGAAGGGCCCAAGCATGCAATCACTTTGCTAAACATGGGTTTGGAACCAGCAGACTTCTGATTACAGGCACAGAGTTGGAACCCGCTGAGCCACACTGCACTAACTTTGGATCTTAACCTGGACTTCTAAAGAGGAGTTCCAGGGTATGTTTATGGGGATTTCTGGAAGGTGGACATGCTTCTCAGTGAATTCCAAAGGTGAACGGGGCACCAAGTGTTGAACAACAGGTTTGGTCACTATGATGTGCCTTTATCGCATCGTTAACTCGTATGTCACCCTTAAACCTGATGCACTCTGGTGGGTTTGAGGTCCTAGGAAAAAAAAAAAGTCTTCCCCCCTCCCATGGGGGTCAACACAATCCTCTTGGGGGGGGGGGCATTCTTACCGGACCTTTTAAGTTAAGGACAACAGGCACTGTAACTTATCTCCTTAGCATCTTGAACCAAAACATTTGAGACATGCACCAGGTGTTTGGGAGAGAGAGTTTTGAACATTGAACACTCAGCTGGAATGGAGATTACTGTAATGCTAATTATTAGCAATATCATAGAAAGACAATTCATTCCCTTATGCCAGTGTTTATCAACCCAGTGCTCAGGGATCCTCAGACAGTCCACATTTTCAGCTGCCCAGAACTGGACAATCAAGCAATAACACTGAATACCTGATGCAGGCGTGCTGGGAGGGAGCAAAAATGTGGACCATCGGGGGGGGAGGGGTGGGAATACTCTCTTACGCTTATAATGTCATGAATGATGTTGCGTGATCCCACTGCTCAAGGCCCAGAAGAATGATGCTGTTTGGCTACTTTAAAATCCAGTGTGCCCAGAATCGGTCGCTGCCATATTGTGAGAAGGTGATAGGAATATGCTTTCACAAGCCGAACTGCAAAGTGGGGAGGCATGACGCGGTTCATTGTATCAGCAATGACTCACTGACCCCTTTACAGTGGAAAGTAGCGATTTCCCATCATGTTGTCATTAGTCTGACGAGAGACAGGCAACTTCCTGTGGGAGAATGTGTCATCAGTAGTGCATTAGATCCCGACCTGGATCCATAAGTCTGCTATATTACATTTCCCGTCTTCGCGTTACTGACACTTTAAATCGAAGTGGGAAGCTTTGAATTTATTCCTCTCCTGTCAGGTGTCTCTGTCTTCTGCTCATCATTGAACAGAATGTTTGACATCAGTTTCTCCAGTCAGCTGGATGGAAGCTCTTTGTTGGTTTAGGTCACATATATAAATGTGTGTATACATGTAATGCAAATGTGGAAGGTGCATCTGAGGATCTCTGCATAGTCTCAGCGTTGAACTGCACAACTCCTACCTCCCGTGGAGGGGAAGTGTTCGGGTGAGGTGCCCCCCAGTCTGCCAGCGCTTAATTCAGTGTCAGCGGGATAAGTCACGAGTCAGCTATTCCTGGGCTCTCGGCAGGATGTGGGAGGCGTGCTGGCTTTTTGGGGAAGTTGGTGAGTGTAGGACATCACACGCTTGACACTTGGTGTGCGCGTGGATCTTTGCCGAGTGGCACCACAATTTAAATTTTTATTTTTGGAGGATACAGCTGTTTTTTTTTTTTTGTTTTTTTTTTCTGTGCTCATTTTTACCCTGGTGTCGATTTGTTAAAACTGAGGTGTGGCGGTCCCAAGAAATGACCCCCTGTCAGTCAACCGCTCTGTGATCGCTCACCAAGAAAGCCGGGAAGTCATGGTTCTGACCACATCACACTGTGCTGCCGGGAAGCGGGGGCTGCGTTTCGGAGGTGCGCTTTTGTAGGGCTATGGCTTTGATGTTTGGTGCAGGCAGCTTGAAATGGTCTCCCTGTTTGGCAGTGGGCAGAAATACCAAAATAACAGCATGTTCTGGATTCCAAAAGCTCATTTCCGTGGCCTGATTTGGACTGGCATCCGATTATGTGTCCTGGTGTACCTCAGCCTTGTGCCGTATGTTGCCTGGGATAAGCAACGCCCCCCCTCGTAACCCTGATCAAGATAAATGGGTGGATGGATGGATGGATGGAAATTTCCATCATAAACTGCTCCCCTGACTGTAATGTTTCACATTGAACTTAACAGCGACATTACAAGTCGACATGGAAGTTTTTTTTAATGTTCATGCCGTTTTTATCAGTTTGACCTTCTCCCTCGAGAGGTGCTGGAGACGGCTACTAGCCCCTCCCCCCCCTTGCTTCAGGTGAAAATGCTCTGGGTATCCAAGGCTACGGATGCTAATCCTTTACAGCTGGCAAATGGTGGCGCCTGACAGGATGTGTGGCGGAGTGTTTTTTGAATAGTCTGAATTAACAAAGAGTGCCTGTATATTTTAGGTGATTATCTGGTGGCGGTGCCTCCCCGGCAGTCCCGCTCGGAGGCGGGCGTCTCCTGGGAGCTCACAGTAGCTCACAGCAGCTCACAGTAGCTCACAGCAGCTCACAGTAGCTCACAGTAGCTCACAGCAGCTCACAGCTATGACATGCCTGCTAAGCAATAAGGTGTCACATCTATCAACCCCATACAAGTTACCTGCTGTTACACGATAAGCAGGCTGTAAGTCACTTGAGGGTACAACAGCAGAGCCTGTAGGGGGTGGGGGGGGGGTCAACTAACTTCAGGTTCCAAATTTAGTTCTTTAAGTGCTGTGCCCCACCCCCACGTGGCAGGAATTCTGATGGGTCAGCAGTGAGCGGGGCCATCGGTGGGATCCGGAGGAGGACGAGCAGACGGATCCCAGAGCCAGGAAGTCTGGGAGCCCCACGCTAGTAGTGGAGATGAGCGGTTTTTATATATGGAAAATGTCTCATTTCGAAGGGCGTGGGCATGCGGCCGCCTGCGCCTTTGTGTGTGTCGGTGTTACTGTCTGCCTGCTATTTCCACAAGACAAACGGCACCGTGTGCAGAAGCTGCTGGGGCTTCCACTTAATGTGCAGCCTGCTTGACGCTGCGGCGCGGCCGCGATGCGGCACCACCGGGCTGCGTCTGGACGCCGCTGGCACTGAGTGTGTTTATTTTATTAAGTAATGCTGATCGCAGGGGTTCATCTGAACCCCTTTCTGACCCCACAGGGGTCACCTTCCTTTAAAGCATGTTGGTGTTTTTGGGGTCTGGCAGTGGGGGGGTGCAGGTCTGCCGGGATGCAAAGTTCAGCATCGACTGCACCTCCAGACAGGCTTATCTGAGTCAGACCTGTTTTAATATTGACAGAGTTGCATGGGCGCAGAGCGTTGCCTGGCTGGACAGGCGGCCGTTGAGGGCCGTTCACTGCTTTTGTTGCTGAGCCCTTCACCTCATGCTTGGGGCATTGCTGCCGTAACTGGGGGGGGGAGATAAGGAGAAGGGTGGTATGTTGTCCCTGTGGTTTGCAAGCAGTGGCAGTGGTCAGATTAGTGGGGCTCGAGGGAAATGCAGAGGCACAGCGTCAGAAGGTGTGCGTGTGTGTGTGTGCGCGTGTGTGTGTGTGTGCGCGTGTGTGCGTGCATGTGTGTGTGTGCGTGCGTGTGCTCTGCCACAGTCCTGTCCCTCGCTTACGTGACTCTCCACATATCCTGCTTCTGTCTCGTCATTGTTACGTAACAGGCCAGTGAGGACAGGTCTGCGATTGCTAAAAGATAGAGAGGTCACTGCAGAACTGAGCGAACCACACTGGTGGACAGGGGACTTGACTCCTGTTATCAGTAATGATTTATGTATGATATAAATCTCTTTTTCCGGGGGTGGAGCAGTAACCTGTTCTTATTTTTACATACCACATCTGAGCACCGTGTGGGTCCGTCTAACTTGTTTGTGTCGTGCTTTTCTGTCCACTGATGCTTTTGTACTTTTTCCTGTGTTGCAGAACCTGTCTGCACATCCCTCTATCCGCTTCGCCGGAAGCCAGGGGGTAAGTGGGAGTCTCCTTTACAGTTTCTGTAACGTGACGTTAGATTCAGTGACAGCGGCCCAAATGCTCCCCCTCTCGGTTTGCCACAAACATTCCTTGTCTGAGGTCGGTCAAAAAAAAACTCGCCAGCGCAGAGCGCCACCCCCACATCATCGCGTCCGGCCAAAGATCTTTCCACATTCCTCGGGTCTGTGAGGTAGCGCTGGACCCAGGGTGACCCCTGACCATCTCGCTTTCCACATACACCAGCTGTTTTATTGTTAATATCCTGCTTACAAACTTTCAGTGACAGGGACCCTTACTTGCTTTCAGATAGTGATGTAAACAAATGAGAAGTGCACCTTTCGACTGGTGTCCATGTTTCAATATTAGAGATCTATCTTTTAATGGCATTTAAAAACGTTTAAAAAGCAACAATATACATAACAGCCTAACAAAAAAGCTTATTTATATTGAGCTAAAAGCAGGAATAAATGAAGCAATTTGGAAACAAAAATATGGTGGAATATACAGCCTATCTTGCTGTTGAGCCACTCAAAATCACCGTGAGGGAAGTCCCTTCACCGTGGCAGCCCTAGCCGCCATGACGGTTCATTGAGCCTTACATCTGCATTCATGTAGATGCCAGAATCTGCCGAGATGATCGATGACTGTGATGTTATTGCTTGGTCTGGTGGGCCGTCTCTCTCTGCCGCCCACGTGGCCTGCCAATCCGTCTCCGGCTCTTCGCTCTCACATCCCTGCCGTATTTAGCGTCCCAGTTTCCTTCCATATGACAGCTGTTTAGGAATGAAGAACATTTGATCTATTCCACCATAGAATCACCGGAATTTTGAGGGAGTAATTACAATGTTACCTATAATAAGCCGGAAATTGTGCTGATTTTCTCCCATGTTGCACACCTCAGGGATATGCCAGGTTAAAGTGTTTAAAGCTGATGTAGATTCTACACAGAAATATACATCATAGGCAGCCGGCGTACACTTCACCGTAGCCTGACGTGGATCTGCCCAGAAACATGACTGCAGTGTAGGGTACACAGCCACCTGCGGTGTACATTCTGCACTGAAGTATACAGTCTTTACTCCGCCCCCGCAGAGTTTTACGGCGCACGTCAATCGCACAGGTTGTGCCGAGGTCATCTCATCTTACTTTCAGCCTCCTGCCGCATAATAGATGCGTGTAAACGCGAATCCGTCAGGCTCGGAGGTTAACTGACATCCCACAAACGTGGCAGCATTCCGGGGCGCCACTTTGAGGAACTGCCTTTGATTTGCTGTCAGATTGAAAATGCAAGACTGTGTTTAGCTTTAAGACATTTAGGCAGCCTCCTCCCACCCACCCACCCGCCCCCGCCTTAGAAGCCAGCTTGGGGAAATCCTGAAACTTATTCCATGAACTTTAATGATGTAGAAATGAAGGGATTCCCCTGCTACCCCCTGCGTTTCTGCAGAAGATCTGCGTGCCACGGCCGGAAAGCCCCGGCAACCAGCAGGTCTTCACCTTCTACCTGTCCAACGTGGGCAAGGACAATCCCCAGGGCAGCTTTGACTGCATCCGGCAGCATGGCAGCCCGGGCCACTTCCGGCTGGACGGCGTCGGCACGATCCACGACAAGATCACCGTGTGCGCCTCCGACGACTCGTACGAGAAGGCGCGGCAGAGCATGACGCAGGCTGAGGAGGAGACGCGCAGCCGCGGCGCCATCGTCATCAAGCCCGGCGGGCGGTACCCAGGTGAGGCTTATAGCCCCGCCCACCAACTCTGGCAAATCAAACCACAAAACGCCTCCTCATAAAACCACGATACGCCCATACTTGCTTATAGTTGTTCTGTCTCATAATAAAGTTTCGTGGGTATTAGTAGGTCTTCTGGAATTTCCTGCCATTTTTGCTCTGTCGATCACCCACAATTCGGTCTCTGGTCATTGGCCAGAATTCAGTCTCCCTCTGATGTGGCCCCACACTCTAGTCCCTCGAGTGGGGGATTCCTCATGATCGACAGGGGAGCGTTCGTCTATCTGGGGGCCCTTGACGGACGTCAGCATGGACACTCAGGTGTTGCCGATTTAATTAACTGTTGCATTTTCTCCAGGGCAGGGTGGGGCCCTTATTGTTACCGGGGCCCTAAGCCTATAACCTAGAACAGCCCTATATATCAATCTACCCCTGATAAATGCAGATGGTGGGGCTTCTCCTTTCAATTGATTATTTAAGGTAGCCATTTTGTTTAAGGTGGTCTGATGATGATGTCGCCTGATGACCCAGGCTGGCATTGCCCTTTTCCCAGGTTGGTTAGCCCTGCTATTATCTTTCATTAGAGATAATCGTTTGGGCTCAATAGACTGGGGAATAAAAATGGATTAACTGAAACCAGCCTGACCAGCTTGCGCCCTGGGAACTGCACGTCAGTCTTAATCATTCATTCCTGGCAGAATCTGCTCCTCCAGAGCAACGTCCCCGGCCTGCCCCCCTCCCGCCGCATCCGCATCAGTCACCAAGTTTGACGCCTCCTATATGATCCACAGGGAAGAAGGTGCACATCCGGAAGCCTCCGGCACCCAACCCGTCCGACGTCGCCCCCTGCAGGCAGGTGAACCGGCCGGTCATCATCTCCAGCGCCATGAAGAAGAACGGCGGTGTGGTGGCGGGCGTGCAGGGGAGGCCCCTACGAGAGCGCCTCACTCATCTGCTGGCCCTCAAGCCCTACAGCAGACCGGAGCTGGTCCTGCGCCTGCAGAAGGACGGCCTCTCTGCCCAGGACAGGCCCTCCCTGGACAGCCTCCTGCAGCAGGTCCCCGCTCACGCCCTCACCCACCTGACAGCGCCCCCTATGGGGAATACCGAGTTATCCATTATAATAAGATGGATCTTTTGGCTGGATTTAGTTTTCATTACTCATACTTAGGCTCTGAAACCAGTTTTTTTTTTTGCATAATTATGTAAAGGGTATGCTGAGTGTGCAAGTTGTGCGATTTCAATCATCAGAAGCAGAAGTTTCAGCGGTGCTCTGTAGTTCTTTGTAACAGTTTTGCAAGTTCCTTATCAGGCCTTATTTTGGTGTGTCTGTGTGTCCAGGTGGCTGATCTGAACAGCAGGGACAACTCATTCACCCTGAAGGACTGTCTCTTCAAGGAGGTCCAGAAGGACTGGCCTGGCTACTCTGAAGGGGACCAGCAGCTCCTCAAGAGGATTCTTGTTCGGTGTGTACAGAAAGTGTGTCTCTGTCTGTGTGACATTTAATGAAAAATCTCCAGCTGCAATAAAAAAAAAATAAACTAAAAATGCCATAAGTCTTGTATTTTGTTTTGGTTACTTATGGTTAAGGTCAGGGCTGGGTTGGGGTTAAGGTCGTCATTGTTGGGATTAGGTTTATGCTCATAGAAATTAATGGAGAGTCTTCCCAAAAATATAGATACCTAATCTGTGAGAGTGAATGAGTGTGAGAGAATGTCAGGTGTTTCTTTTGTTTGCATGGAGTAGAGATCATGCATGTATTTTGGGCCAGGCACTGCATTATCCAGGCACTGCATTATCCAGGCACTGCATTATCCAGGCACTGCATTATCCAGGCACTGCATTATCCAGGCACTGCATTGAGATTCCTGCAGCCGTGTGTTTTCACTTAGCTTGTAAACAGTCTTAACCAGGTACCAGCTGCATAGATTAGACTTGGACAAGGTCAAATGTGTTAAAGCTGCGGCGATTCCCAGAAGTATAGCCTTTGTGTTATAAAGCGGGGGGGGGTGGCTCCGCTGTACGTGACAAAGCAGCCCTGCCTTGTTTTTGAAAGTTAGCCGAATGTCGCAGCCTCAGCACATGGCTGCCAGCTGCCGGGCTGCTGCGGCCGCATTCGGCACCGCAAACATGCTGATATGGAGAAGCTCCGCCCCTCCCTCCACCCCTCCGTCCCTCCCTCTCTCCGTCCCTCCCTCTCTCCGTCCCTCCCTCTCTCCGTCCCTCCCTCTCTCCGTCCC